CACTGGACTCCAGTCTGGGCAACGGAGTGAAACTCCAACTCAAAAAAAAAAAAAGAAAGTCAGCACTTATACTAAGAAAATTGGCTACAACCCTCACACAGTTGCATCTGTGCCAATTTCAAGTTAGAATGGTGACAAACATGCTGGAGCCAAGTGCTAACATGCTTTGGTTCAAGGGATGGAAGGCCACCCATAAGGATGGCAAAACCAGTGGAACCACACTGCTTAAATCACTGGACTGCAATCTACCACCAACTCTGCCAACAGAAAAGCTCATGCATCTGTCTCTCCAGGATGTCTGGTGGTATTTGTACTGACTCTGTGGGTCAAGTGGAGACTGGTGTTTTCAAATCTGGCATGGCAGTCACCTTGCTCCAGTCAACGTTACAAGTGAAGTAAAGTCTGTTGAATGTACCATGAAGCTTTGAGTGAAGCTCTTCCCGGGGACAATGGAGTTTCAATGTCAAGAATGTAACTGCCAAAGATGTTTGTTGTGACAAGCATTGTTGGTGACAATAAAAATGATTCACCAATGGAAGCAGCTGGCTTCATTGCTCAGATGATTATCTTGAACCATCCAGGCCAAATCAGTGCTGGCTGTGCCCCTATACTGAACTGTCACACAGCTCACATTGCATACAATTTTGCTGAGCTAAAGGAAAAGATTGCCGTTCTGGAAAGAAGCTGGAAGATGGCCCTAAATTCTTGAAGTCAGATGATGCTGCCATCATTGATATAGTTCCTGGCAAGTACATGTGTGTGGAGAGTTTCTCTGACTATCCTCTGAATTGTTTTGCTGTCCGTGATATGAAGCAGATAATTGCTGTGGTGTCATCAAAGCAGTGGACAAGGCGGCTGCTGGAGCTGGCAAGGTCACTAAATCTACCCAGAAAGCTCGAAAGGCAAAATGAATACTATCCCTAATACCTGCCACCCCAGTTTTAATCAGTGGTGGAAGAATGGTCTCCGAACATTGACCATTTTCAATTTGTTTCAATTGACCATTTAAGTTTAATAGCAAAAGACTGGTAAATGATAACTATGCATCGTAAAACTTTCAGAAAGAAAGGAGAATGTTTTGTGGACCATTTGGGGTTTTTTGTTTGTTTGTTTTGTTTTGTTTTTTGTTTTGTTTTGTTTTTGAGTTGGAGTCTCACTCTGTCACCCAGACTGGAGTGCAGTGGTCACTCCCGGCCACCGCAGCCTCGACCTGCTGGGCTCCGGCGATCCTTCCACCTCAGCCTTCCAAGTAGCTGGAACTACAGGCGCGCGCTACCACGCCCGGCTAGTTTTTTTGATTTATTGTAGAGATGAGGTCTCGCCAAGTTGCCCAGGCGGGTCTCGAACCCGCGGGCTCAGGCAATCCACTCACCTCAGCCTCCCAAAGGCACGGGATTACAGCCTGAGCCACCGAGCCTGGCTCTTTTGTTTGTTTTTGTGTGTAACAGTTCTAAGTTATTAGTTTTTGAAATCAATACTTTTTTTTTGAGTTGGAGTCTCACTCTGTCGCCCAGACTGGAGTGCAGTGGCCACTCCCAGCCACCACAGCCTTGACCTGCAGGGCTCCGGTGATCCTTCTGCCTCAGCCTTCCAAGTAGCTGGAACTACAGGCGCGCTACCACGCCTGGTTAATTTTTTGATTTATTGTAGAGATGAGATCTCGCCAAGTTGCCCAGGCGGGTCTCGAACCTGCAGGCTCAGGCAATCCACTCACCTCAGCCTCCCAAAGGTGTGGGATTATAGGCTGAGCCACTGAGCCCGGCTTTTGTTTTTGTTTTTTTTTTTGAGTTTGAGTCCCACTCTGTCACCTAGACTGGAGTGCAGTGGCATGCTCCCGGTCACCGCAGCCTCGACCTACTAGGCTCTGGCGATCCTTCCACCTCAGCCTTCCAAGTAGCTGGAACTACAGGCGCGCGCTACCACACCCAACTAATTTTTTGATATATTGTAGAGATGAGGTCTCGCCAAGTTGCCCAGGCGGGTGTCGAACCCGTAGGTTCAAGCAATCCACTCACCTCAGCCTCCCAAAGCACGGGATTACAGGCTGAGCCACTGAGCCTGGCTAATACTTCTTAATGGAAACAACTTGACCAAAAATCTGTCATAGAATTTTAAGACCCATTAAAACAAAGTTTAATGTGAAAGAAAATAGAATGTATTTAGAATTCTTAATGATTAGGGCATTCAATCAGATGTAAATCCATTTCATCATACAATCGACATTTTTCCATCACAGTCTCAAAGATTATGACAATAATAGTGATGATGATAATTATAGTTAATACTTACAGAGTACCTTCTATGTGCCAGAAACTTATAAGCTTTTTAGATAAATTAAATAATTTAATCCTCACAACAATCCTAGGAGGTGGATAATGCTATTATTCCTATTTTACACTAAAGGAAATTGAAGCAAAGCTAGGTAAAATGAATTGAGTAAGGTCACATACCCAACACAGAGCAAAAGCAGAACTTGAACCTGGGCACTCTGGCTCTAGGGTCTATGCTCTTTACCACATTATCCTGCCTAGTACATAAAATAGTCATAGGTTAATTTAGTCACAACCACTTACTGCACTCTGACCATATGCTACACTGTGCCAGGCAAGAATTTAATTTCACCTTTCATTAAGACTGGATTCCCTTCCCACGGAGGGTATCACTAGCAGACTACCCAGGAACTCAAGGGGCTTGTTTTGGTTTGGACCTTAGTAGAAAAGTAGACAGGGAATTATATCATGAATCACATAAAATAAATTGTGATTTAATTCTAGGTCCTCCCAGTACCTTAACTCTAGGTTAAGGTAAGTCCCTTGATGGCAACACCAGTGGAACCACACTACTTGAAGCAGTGGACTATATCGTACCAACTCTGCCAACTGAAAAGCCCTTGTGCCTGCCTCTCCAGGACTTTCTTCATGAGATTAAGGAAAGTTCTGATGAAAAGCACTTAACTTCTAAGTCACAGTAAGGATCAGAAGATAAATTAGACTGCAAACTCCCTGATATTTGTTCTTTACCCAGTATTCAATCCCCTTGTTCTGAAAAGAGCCCGTTTTATTTGTAGACTCTCTCATTTGGTCTGTGTAGCTTCATCCTCAGCCCTGGCATCAGGTTGTATATGCCAAATCTAAATCAATCAGCACATCAGTCTCCCCTGGCCACAGATTTAAGGGGAGGCAGGTGTGATATGTGACCTAGCTAGTCTAACCAAGCATTTCTTTGTGGACTTGAACCTGGAAATGGCTCTAGGAATCATTCAGTAACCATCTAGTGGCTATTCAACAACCAGGAAGAGAACCTTTTTGGAAATAGTCAACACAGAGAAAGCAGAGCTGATGATGGAAAGAAGCAAGAACCAGAAATCTTGAATTGTTTCAACCAAGACATCCTCCTTTTTTCTTTAGCCAGGTAGGCTGGGGTTTTTTGTTTTGTTTTGTTTTTTACCACTTGGAACTATAAAAATCACAACTCACATGCAGCAATGAGCCTAGTACACAGTAGACACTCGTTAAATAGTAAACAAGTTGCATAGGTTTAGTAAGTGCAGAATGGCTTTGAAATTTGGGAAAGCACTAGATACTATTGTTTTGTTTTAATGAAAAGAGGACAAGTACTTGACAATTTACAAGTGTATCAAAGTTGGCACCACAAAGCTCTCATCCTGTCAAAAGTATTTTCCTTTATCTGCTTCTACTATTTATTATCTAATTATACTATTCCTTGTCTGTTTACATACAGTTCTTCTATTTTCTAAAGATGACTTTTGTGTTTTAAATTATATTTTACATTATTCTTTAAACTGAAGTCTTAAGAATCCTCTGGATTTTGAACAAACATACCTAATGCTTTTTGGGTTTTAGTGTAAAACACTTCTATATCTTATTCACTTTCTCAGGAGATGGAAAACACCATGGTCACAGACATTCCATAAAAATACCCCTAAAAGAATTTAGAGATTAATCCTCATGCCTTTCCTCTGGAACTACTACTGCTTAATAGTAGTGGTCCCTCAAGTTTTTTTTTTTTTCTCATTTTTCACTGGCCTTAGGCCATCCCAATGTTCCCTTACATCTGCCATCTTATGTGCCACCAAAGCATATAGAATAATTTAATAAAAGTGCTTAAAATAGTGGAAAAAATTACCCCCAGTTTCTTTAATGTTCCAATAGATGCCTGTCTGGATACATCCCCGGTGCTATTGAGAAAACATAGAAAAAGGTGTGTGGGAGGATGAAGGCATATTGGGAGTAATAAATACATCTTAGCACCATGGTGGCTTCTTAATTCATGATACTGAAACTTAGGTGTACCTAAAACCACACCACGTTTACAACATTCATAATTGCCCAGTAACCATTTTTAATACCACCAAAAACGAGGAACAATACTTCTCAGACTTTCTGTTTATAACTGCACCTTTGTGATCAATCAACGCTATTCAAGTAAGTTGCAATGATGGCCATGGAAAAGGAGGTGGCTTAAATATTCACATTTAAAAGGGTGAAAAAACACACATACATACCCAGGCTGCCTTAATATCTCTGTTTGTCCTGTGAGCAATGAGATGGAAATGACGGCTCCTCCTCAGAGCCAATACAGTAAGTCAACGTGGAGGGTGATTACCTAATGCCTTGCAGACAGATCCTCAGGGTTGAGTCAGAATGAAAAGCAGTTGGAAATAAAATACGGAACCTCTCTCATGAGCCCTACTAGGGTGGGCCAAACCTTCCTGTTTCCAGAAAAGTCTTTGTCAAAAAAAAAAGCTGTACAAAAAAAAGATACAAAGAGGGCTGACAGCCAGAATGCAGCATTTGTAAGGTCTGATCTTTCCAACACTGCTTAACTAGGGACTTAGTCCCTAGTTAAGTCACCTTATCTTATTCACTCAAATTTCAGCACAGATCCTAAATATGGACACAAATGTCCACCACCACCACCCTGCCTATTAAGTGCATTAGTGTCTCCAAAGTGCTCTCAAGATACAGAATGCAGTATCTGTGCGTGTGATTTTTACTTAGATTCACAAAAATCTGGCTCCATTTCTGCTGACTCACTTCTTAGTACACACTGCTTGCCTTGTTCTTCAGTGTTCCAACAGATGCCTGTTTGGATACATCAACTTTGCTAGAAAAGAACTGGGAAATATGTGTTTGTGAAGGGGGTGAGAAAGCACTGAGGAAATACTAAGGAAACCACCTAGCCAGGTAGTTTTCCAACATGAATGTCCTGAAGGAGACAGAATCTAGGTGCTGACATATATATGCTTGAGTCTTAAAGATGAAAGGCACCTAGAATCCCCTCTGTTCTACTTCCTTATTGCTAGTAGACCCAGTAAACGCCTCAGGGCAAAAGAGGAGGTGAACTCTGCTTCCTACACTATACAATAACCTAATTAAAGTCATCCTCCTTTATCTACAGGGAATACATCCCAAGAGTTCCCGTGGATGCCTGAAACCCTAGGTAGTACAGAACCATATGTATACAGTCATCCCTTGGTGTCTGCAGGGAATTTGTTCCGGAACCTCCTGAGAATACCAAAATCCACAGATGCTTAAGTCTCTTATATACAATGATGTAGTATTTGCCTATCAACTATGAACACCTTCCTGTATACTTTAAATCATCTCTAGATTACTTATAATACTTAATATAATGTAAATACTATGTAAATAGTTACAATACTGCATTGGTTTTTATCTGTACTTTTTTTCTGAATATTTTTGAGCTGTGGTTGGTTGAATTCACAGATATGGAACCCATGGATATGGAGGGCCAATCTACTGTATTTTTCCTATAATAAAGTTTTATTTATAAATTAGGCACAGTGAGAGATTAACAACAATAACTAATAATGAAATAGAACAATTATAACAATATTTTGTAACAAATGTTATGTGAATATGGTCTC